TAAACCGGCACTGTTTAGCATTAAGCTTTTTCCAACAGCAGCAGCAGCAGCAGCAGCAGCGAACCTCAAGCAGTGGACATACAGAAGAGGAACATTGATAGGTGTCTCTTTTGAAAAAGGAAAGAATGATGCAAGGCCTGCGAAAACACAAAACACCTCCGGGATGCTCTCTGTCGGGCTGGATAACAAAATGAACGCGAAGCTGGGGACCACCCTGGATCTCTCAGAATCGATAAGGAATGGAGGAGTGTGCGATGAGCCGATGAGCCTCTGGACGGGTCGACAAAGGGGGTTCGCTGGTCTGAAACTGGCCTAGCCCAAACCAGCCCCTGGATATTTTCAGACAGGGGCCATGCGGTGGCCTGTGCGGGTGGGTGGTGAACCCTGTTCTTCAACCCCGCGCTTTTTCCTTCCCCTTCTTCAACCAACTCCCTCCTTAGGTTGCGTGGTTGCGAGGGATAAATGTTGTTTCAACTTGATGCTCTCTGTTTCCGAGTCTGTTCTCATCACTCTGTCCCCAAAGGAGCAAGCAGCAACAGCAGACCGGAGGTGACAGTTGAGGTTGAGTAAGGTAGGTACTCCGTAGGTAACCCCGCCAGGCGTCTATTTTTGTTGGCAATTTCCTGGTCCCCGTTTGTCACGGGGGGTGCTCATTTCCAACGGTGGTCTTAGAGTCGCTATCCCGCTTTCTAGTGGATAACTAGAACACCAAAGATGCCCAAAGACGGGCGCGGTAATAAACCACGACGTGTCCGTGGTAGATCAGCCTGATAAGTTGTCCACGGCCACCGGTACGTTTGCTCCTGAGCCTCCGATGGGCATGGGGATCATTGCCGCCACCATTGTCTTCAAGGCAGCTGAAATGGTGCTAGTTGGAGACATATTAGGAGTAGTTTGCACAACCTCAGCATGTGCAGAGACATCCATATCGGATCTCATCAACCGCCAGAACAGACAGACCCTCGCTGCTTAAAAGCGGGCGCCGCCGCTGACGGGTAGGGTCCACTGTGGGTTGGGTGGGCACGGTGGGTTGCGGGTGATTGTCCGTGGCCCCACAATAATCGGAGTGCCAAGCTGGAGCTCGTTGACGTGCAGCAAGCAAGGCTTCGCGTTTCCGTCCTGCTTCTGACATGTGGATTAATTGATTGACAGAGCCTCGCTGCCTCTTGCGGGCACATTCTATGTATGCAACTGGAGTGGTTATCATTAGCATCCTGACACTCAGACTTTGCGACGCAGCTCACCCTCCGAAGAATCTCAACTGTTGCTTCTGGAACACCTCCACACCATGGGAGCCACATTCTCAGCCGTCAAGGTATCCAGATATCCGTCAGCTTCTGAGAACAAGTTCGCAGTGAACATGTACTAACATGATTTTTTTCTCCCAGACGCTGGTTGTCCCCGCCATAATATCGCTGATACTCTTCCTCCTGTCGACGTTTGTCCTCTACCCCTTGTGGCAACGCTATCGAAACCGTTACAGCCAGTACCTCCCAATAGACACTTTATCCGAACAGACATCTTCGCTCAGGGCCAGGATAACAGGCGGCCTTAGTAGCCTGATATTTACCTCTAGGTGGAGCACAGGCTTTGCTGATCGGCTCGTTGTTGGTGGTCGGCCGTCGTTTGATTCAGAAGACGGGGAAGAGCTGGAGGATGTGGATGAGTCTACCGGAAGAGGTGGAAACATTGGTGACAGTATTGACAGCTCGAGGAGGTTAAGCAGAGAGTAAGCGGGAATGGCCCTTTGATGTCTTGGGATGGTATGCTAACACCTCGTAGCTTGGAGGAAGGTTTCATCGATGATAGCGACGAGTCCTCATCAGACGACTCGTCGAGGTGACAGGGAACATATTAATATTCCGTTCTTTCATGCATAGGGCGCGGCGTTTTTATATCGAATCCTTTCAAAAACCGGACGGAGTTGTCAACGGTCCTTGGGTTGGAGATATCTGGTCTTGGAGAATTTCACCAGCGAATACAGACAATGTAATTATTAGACCCGACAGACAATGGTATGGCGCGCCAACCGGCCAGCTAAGGTGGCTCCAGGCCACCGCACGGGAGCCCGTCCTGTCACTTTCATGGTCAAGACCAGGCCACAACTGGACCGGCCTAGCCGTTGACCGGCACGTGGCTCCCCAGACAAACCAGACTACCGGGTCCTTTGACTCCTTGCCATCGTACTCGACTGTCGGCGCCAAGGCTAGTGGCCAGAATCAAAATGTTTATCGCATAATGACAAAAGGGCAAATGCATGATTGCCGAGACGTCCCCTGGTGCACCTTGATAGATATTCAGCTATCCTGTCATTTGATTTGCAACCTGGGTCGACCAGGGGAGCATTACTGTAACGGGGCGAAGCACGTGGACATACAGTCAACATCTTGAAAGTCGGAGGGAGCAGCACAAAGTACAACAAAAAAAGATGGCGGAGTCGGGAAGATGGGTCTGGAATATGATGCTCCTACAAGCAAGAAACCGCTAGAGCACCCCAGATACATTAAACTCCGCCTCTCGATACCCATCAGATAAGATGATACGCTAGTACCGTTTAAAAGCAAATACTGCGGGGTCCTGCAGATCTCGCCCAGGTCTCAACCGCACGCAGCGACCCGTTCAAGGCACCTCCGATTCATTGCTATTTGCGCTTCCCGCAAGACAGAAGAAACTATCGTTTCAGCAAGCTTGCCACCGTGGATTTATTCTCTCTCTCCGAAAAGCACCAGCGGCCGGTTTAGATATACATCTATCTTTCCCAAACAAAACCTCCGGCCCTGTCACCCATTCGTCCCAACCCCGCGCATGTTCCTGTGGTCAAGAAAAGCGCAGCCCGAACCGGAAAAGGAGGACGTCGAGATGGCTACACCAGAGGAGCAGGCCGTGGCCTTGAAGAACCAGGGAAACAAGGCCTTTGCCGCCCATGACTGGCCAACCGCCATTGACTTTTACTCCCAGGCCATCGAGCTGAACGACAAGGAGCCAACATTCTGGTCAAACAGAGCTCAGGTGGGTAGCTTTCAGGAACCCGACGTCACCACTTTTTTTGTTTTACTAACCTATGCATCTTGGTATGTGAAATAGGCATACATGAAGACAGAAGCCTACGGCTATGCGATCAGGGACGCGACGAAAGCCATCGAGCTGAACCCAGGGATGATCAAGGCCTACTACCGCCGAGCCACCGCCTACGTAGCCATCCTCAAGCCCAAGGAGGCCGTCAAGGACTTTCAGACCTGTGTCAAGATCGACCCTGGTAATAAGGATGCCAAGCTCAAGCTTGTCGAGTGCCAAAAGGCCGTCAGGCAACTTGCCTTCTTCGAGGCGATCGAGGTTGGGGATGAGCCATCGGTTGCTGACGGACTCGATGTCGACTCGATGCATGTGGAAGACTCGTATGATGGTGTGAGGTTAGGGAGTGAAATGACACAAGAGTTTATCGATGACATGACGGAGAGGTTCAAGAACGGCAAGACCATACACAAGAAATATGTGTACCAAATTGTCATTGCGGTCAAGAAGCTGGTGTATGACGAGCCTACGATGGTGGAGGTGGAGATTCCTGAGGATGTCGAGCTCACAGTTTGCGGTGATACACACGGTAGGTTTTCTTCTTTGGTATCGTATCAAGAGTACAGGCACTGACCAAATACAGGTCAATACTTTGATCTTATGGAACTCTTCCGGATAAACGGCACTCCCAGCGACAAGCACTGGTATCTCTTCAACGGCGACTTTGTCGACAGAGGCTCGTGGTCCACCGAAATCGCCCTTCTTCTCTACGCCAACAAGTGGCTCCGCCCCAAGAACTTCTTCATCAACCGAGGCAACCACGAAACAGACGACATGAACAGAGTGTACGGCTTCGAGGGCGAGTGCAAGGCCAAGTACAACGAGAGGATCTTCAAGCTGTTCTCTGAGAGCTTCTCTGCCCTGCCCCTGGCAACACTTGTTGGCAAGAAATACTTTGTTCTGCACGGCGGTTTGTTCTCAGACGACAACGTAACGCTGGATGATATCAGGAAGCTCGACAGGCATAAGCAGAGGCAGCCCGGCCAGGCCGGTTTGATGATGGAGATGTTGTGGACAGATCCTCAGTCGGAGCCCGGCCGTGGACCAAGCAAGCGTGGTGTGGGTATGCAGTTCGGTCCGGACGTTACCAAGAGGTTCTGTGAGAAGAACGGGTTGGAGGCGGTTATTAGATCGCACGAGGTCAGGATGGCGGGTTATGAGGAGGAGCATGATGGAAAGTGCATCACTGGTATGTTTCAACTCAACCCTTCTCTTTACCGACATTATGTTAACACTGAATCCAGTCTTCTCCGCGCCCAAGTACTGCGACATGACGGAGAACAAGGGCGCCTTCATCAATATCGGCCCCGATCTCAAGCTTAGATTCACACAGTTTGATGCCGTGCCTCATCCAAATATCCGGCCGATGGTAAGGTTTCCTTTCCCCCAACCCTACCACACACCAAAGCTGACGTTTTATCTCGCAGGCCTACGCCAACTCGAGCATGATGTCCTCGCTCATGTAAGCGACAAGTTGCAGTCGAGAATAAATGCATGTACGAAGAAGACAAGACTGGCTCCGCTCACGCAAGGAAATTGGGGAGCATCATTAGCATGGCGTTTTGAGGGCGGTAGGGGTTCGTGGCTGGTTGATTGGTGGTGACCGGGTGGTATGATATCCAATGTATGATGATGGTGGACAAAACCAACACTGGCAAGAAGATATTCTCGCTATATGACATCATAAACATGTCCGAACAGAAAGAAAGAAAAAAATCGAATTCAGATCTTTTGGAACGAGAACAGTTTTCTGTTTTCTCCCTCGTAAACATCCCGCCCTGTTTTCCGCCTCTATAACTTGGGTATCAACTCCAACAGCAACCTCTGCCATCCCTTTTCCGCAAAAATGTTTCCTTCCTTTCTGTCTGCCCTATCCATATGCCGTCCCACTTTTTTGTGAACAAAACAAACTTGTCCAAAAAGAGAAATCACTTTCCCCAAATCTCACGTTCCTCCCCTCTGCCGACAAGAGCCCCGAGGAAATCCCCGGCTGCCTCTACTCTGAGCACCAGTTTTTCTTTCCCGTTGTTTAGACCGCTGAATGAGGCGATTGCTGCGGTGAATGCGGCGAGGTCGGGGCGGGGGAGGCGGACCCAGGAGGAGGCAGGGCCGACTTGGAGGATGTCGATTGGGATGGCGGCGCCGGTTTGGCCGAGGAATTGAGATAAAGCGGAGGTTAGGTAGGATTTCAGGAGGAGGGGGTCGAGCTGTTGCTGGGTTGTGGAGGGGGAGGGGGTTAGAAAGGTGAGGTTGGCGTAGGAGAAGGGGGGTGTGGGGAGGGTTAGGGTGGTGAGGAGGGGTTTGGAGGTTTTGGGTTTGGGGAGGGAGGTGGTGCTGGTGGGGGGAGGGGGGTCGAGATCCATTGCTTCGGTCATGGTGGTTATAGGTGGTGGTTGGTTAAGTTGAGTGGTGATGTTGCTGGTGTTTGTGAGTGTGGGTTGAGTCGCTGGTGAGAAGAGTTGATATATCTCAATTTGCTGAGAAGATTAAGCTACTGAGAGTGAAATGTTCAGATGAATTTCCTGCTTTGAATAAGTAGGTTTCAGAATAGTTCTGTCGTTGTGAGAATAAGAATTCAAGGTTCACTTCATAAACCTTGATGTGAAGCTCAAATCGATATGCTAATACCGGGGTCTCAAAAGTTACCTTGGCCCTGCCCCACAATTCATTCTCCCTCCCCTGCATCACTGCCCAGGAGCCCCCCCTGTCCCGTCACTGCCGGTCGTGCATCATCACCCATGATTACATGCATTCCAAGGAAGGAGGCTCTGGACATCACACTTACACATGACACCCATCGTGCCTGCACTTTCGGATGGCATTTGCATCCCGCCGTCGCTGTTGAGAAGGCACCAGCAATGGACTCCGAGAAGTAGTCGCTCTTGCCTCAACACCTTGCAGCCGCTTACACTGCATCTCCCGTCACCTCCACTGTCAAGATGCCCCCGCGAAGTATCCAGTAGCATTTCACCCACCACCACCACCACCACCACAACAACAACAACAACAACAACAACTCCAACACTCGTTTATATCTGCGGTAGCTCGACTATGGACCCTCTCACTGTTCTCGTCAACAGCACCACCGCCCCCGTTTCCGAGAGAACCAGTCTCACGCTGCTCAGGACCATCTTCGGTACCTTGTATTGGCCTTGGTTGATTACCAAGACTGTCACCATTTGGAGTTTGCAGACAATCTGGAGTGTGATTTCATTCTTCATCATCTCTCCTACTAGAGCCGTCTTCAACTTGGCGACAGCCCCGTTCGGGATTGTAATCCATATCTTTCTGGAGCTTAAGCCGTTGCCCATCTTGGTACGTGATCCTTATGCATCTCTGACGGTTCCTACTGACTTGATCGTCAGCTCCTCTACGCAGCAGTAATAGGCTTCACAACCGGCGCCCTCATAGTGTTCATCACAGAACAATTCCTAGCCCTCACCAGCACCAGCACCAGCACCAGCACCCCTAAGCGGACTGCCACCCCCAACAAACCTCCAGGCGCCATGACATACAAACAGCAAAAAATGGACCTCCCCGTTACTCCCGGCTCGGTCGACAGCACCAGCTCCCTATCCTTTGGAACCGACGACGACCCCTGGGACAGCAGCGCCACAACAGCCGTCATGTCATCCTCCAACCAAGCCAACTTTTTGATCCCCGCCGCCTCCATCAAGCAACGCCCTCAGAAACCTCGGCTTCAGGGGTTACTGACAGAGACGATCCACGAGGAATCCTCGTCCAACCTCGTCTCCCCTTCTTCCTCGTCCGAATCATCAGCGTAGCACAAGATTGTTGGACTGATTGCACTCCTCCTCGTCATATACTAGGTGATTTCCTACCTCCTCGGCGTCTTTTCCCTTGTTGGCTCCATTCTGAGGTATCTTCTCCGGCTTTTGCTCTTTGTCGCCACGCCGTTTTTACTTGTCTTGAGGGTGCTGTACTATTTTGTGGCGATCGGCTACAGGCATTTTGCCCCGGCGTTGATTTGGGATGTTATCTGCTTTCTGGCGCCGCATCGGACGGTGCTGCTGGATACGGAGCAGGCTTTTTGTCGTCAGACGGGGGTGGATTGGAGGTGGTTGAGGAGGAGGATACAGTTGACGGTGGGGGAGGACAAGAGGAGGTGGGATGGGTGGTGGGAGGAGTGGGAGTTTGAAAGGAGGAAGGGTATGCCGTTTGTGGTGGGGACGATGTATGGCGATACGAGACGGGGGATGGGGTGGAAGGAGAGAGTCGACGAGGCTGGGTTGGCGATGTTGGATTTGGGGGTTATTGAGGAGGTTGAGGGGGAGGGGAGTGGGAAGGAGAGGGGGGATTGGGATGAGAGGGAGAGTGATATTGCTGGGACCGAAGCTGGTGGGGGGAAGGGGGAAGGGGTGAGGAACAAGAAGAAGCAGAAGAGGAAGAAGGTCAAGGGGAAGAATGAGTTTCAGGGTGAGGGGTTTGGGGGTGATGATTTGAAGTATTTAATGGGGGAGGATGTTGCTGTGGAGAGTGAGACTACTGCCACGAAGAAGAAGTTGGGGAGTAGCGCGAGGAAGAGGTTGAAGAAGGGGAGGGAAGAGATTATTGTCAAGAATGACGAGGAAGCGGAGCCGGAACTGACAAGTATATTAAACAAGATAAAGGAAGCTGAGGAGATTAAAGCGTATGAGGGGGATGTGGATAAGAAGAACAAGAAGAAGCGGGGGTATAGTCGGGATAAGCCCTTTTCAATGTTGGAACAGAATAGGAGGGTAAGTAAGGAGATTAAGAAGGAGAAGGAGTATGAAGCGGATGAGGAGGAGGGGGCTGGGGGTGAGAGTGAAGAGGACAAAGAGGAGGAGGTGCGTGAGAGGGTGGAGGAGACGGAAGGGTGGTTTGGTTCGTTGTTTTGATGATGGGGTGAGGGACTAGAAGGAGGGGTGGTTGATACAGAGGTTCGGTTTTAAAAGCGTAGTAGTAATTTGATTCTGACTTGGATGGAAGAAGATGAGTTTTTGTTGTGACGTGATGGGGCTGGGGATGGTCATTCAGAGACGTAACTACTTGCGAGAGAATTCACTATAACATCAACAGCACCAGTATCGCACAAGGTTACATTCACAACTGAACACGATGTTGAAATGGCTGCACAACCTGAAAACAAGTATGCAATTCTCCTCCGTTCTTTCGAACTTACTCTGAAGAAAACCACACGCAGACACTTTCAGAATGCATCTAAAACCCTCTCCAAACATGACTTTTACACATTACTAATACTCCTCGCTTGTTGACCAAATTCCAGAAGCCAGCTGCAAGCCACACCAAAATTCACGCTTTTCTGGGTGTCTATATCCTAATCACCCGAATCTCCCGCGCCAGTGATTATTTCTACTACTGTTCTTACGCCCAGTGCTCGTGTTTACCTCAGCATAGAAACCAGGCTCCCGTGCGGTACTGCTCCTTGTTGATCGTCTCGTGACAGGGCTTGGTTGAGGAGGAAGTTGAGGTGGAGGAGGGGGTTGAGCTTGAGGAGGGGCTTGTGGTTGAGCAGGGGATTCATCATCAGTTTGCTCGTCATCCATTTGAACCTCGGCCTGCTCCTCAGCCGGTTCATCATCAACTTCCTCATCATCCATTTCGACATCAGACCGCTCCTCTGGTGCTTCAGCAGACGGATTATCATTCAAGTCAACCTCTGACTCCTCAGACGCTTCAGCAGACGGTGGTTTTGACCCCCTCCTTCTCTTCTTGCCTTGCCTCTCAGACCCGCCAGGAGACCTCGACCTCTTTCTCTTCTTATCATCACCACCCTTTTCTCCTTGCTCACCACCATCCTCTTCACCACTCCCCTCTTGCTCACCACCCCCCTCCTCACCACCCTCACCCTCACAAAACCCAACCCTCGGCGGTGTGCTCGGCCGTTCCTCAGGCCCCACCGACCAGGCAATTTCCTCCTCCGACCTCTCTCCCGACCCCTTCCGCAACTCATCATCCGCCTCCCAACCATCACCCGGCCTCCGACTTCTTCTCTGCCCACTTCTCCGCGGCGGCACCACCGACGGTCGTGTACTCTCCACCTCTCCCGAACTCGACGTAGAGCACCTCTCCCACCCACCATCAGTCGGAAGAACCCTCCCTCTACTGCTTCCCCTTGACCCCGGCACCGGCACCGGCATACCCAACACCCTAGCCGCCCGCTCAATCTCTTCTTGACTATGCCGGCGTCTCCAACCCACCCCCCTAAACATCCCCGATTCCGCCTCCCGGATGATGCTGATGCGAACGAGGGCGAGTCACCACTGCGGACGAGCCGTCCTCATCAGCCAGCACCCTCGACCTGGCTATGCCAGCCCGAGCCCTGCTTGTTCCTAGACTCAGATCCAAGGACTCACTGGCTGTTCTCAGCCCAAGAAGTCTTTCGACCGACGATCCGAGCGGTGATGGCAAAGGCGGTAATTTAACACGCTGCCGTGGTCTCTCCGCTGCGTCCTCGGATGGTTGCTCAGCTGTCTCCTCGGGTGCTTGCTCAACTACATCCTCAGGCTGAACGACCCGAGAAAGAAGAGATTGTCTACGTGGTGGGTCTGCAGGCAGCTCCGGATCCGAAAAATCACCAGAAGCAAAAGATCGGCTTCGGCCGCTTGCTTGGACGAGCAATTGTCGATTGCATGAGTTGAGTGACAACGAGCGTGACGGCGAGCGTGACGGGCGCAATTGTGAGGGTGCTAGCGGCTCTGCTTCAATCGATGGAATAGGTCTATCAGGACTGTACAATGGGATTCGCCTCCTGTTTGCTACTGGTGCCGGATTGCTTTGACGTCCAGCCCGTGATGTAGAGCCACCCAACCCCCCTCCCCCCTCAGGCCTCTGCTCATGACCGCCAGACCCCGGTCTGGGTTGCTCATTCTCCCCCGAGCGCCTGGAGCCCCGTTTGGTATTCCCACCTCCCTACCGACGGGGATTACGTCCGTATCCCTGCTCCTGGCCTCTGCGACCCTGAACCTATCTAGGATGCGGTGGACCATCGCGAGGTGGCCGATCTCTGTCCCTGTCCCTGTCCCTGTCCCTATCGCGGTCTCTTGGCGGCAGAGGTGACCGACTTCTGCTGCGCGTGCGATTGCTCCTTGTGCGGTCATCATAATCCCCCCTCCTCCTGTCCCCTGGGCCTCCGCGGTCTCGCCTGTCGTCCCTCCGCCGATCGTCTCGTCTTGGAGCGTCCCTATCATAACTGGGGATATACGTATCGACGTCCTGACGATTTCCTCCGCCACCTCCACGAGGAGCTCGATCACGGCCGTTGCCATAGTCTGCAGGTGGAGGTGGGCGCGGTGGAAGCCTGGTGTCTCTGTGCCAAGCGGGCACTCGCTCGTCTGGTGCCGGGGCCGGACCACCAAAATTGCGGTTGTTGTTGTTCCGAGGATAGCCTCTTCCGCCGGGGCCACCGCTGTTCCTGTAGCCATCGCCGTCATTGTTGGGACCGCGGCCCACGGTACCGCCCCTGGGCGCTGGAGGCAACACGGTTCTTTTCTCATGGTACTTCTTACGATCATATTCGTGACTTTCTTCGAAAGACGGCAGTTCTTCTGGCTTGGCGGGATATGGGGGGTTGCGGAAGTAAGGGTGCTGCAGGGCGTCATGAGCGTTGATTCTGCTCCTCCAGTCCAGCTTGAGAAGCTCTCGAAGTAACGAGATGGCACCCGAGCCGTATTCTCTGAACCTTTGCCCCAGGTTACCTTGTCGCGGCTTGGGTGACATCGCTTCGGCTCCAGGCAAGTCTTTCAACCCAGGCATTGTCTCGATGGTGGGCGTACCGCAGAGGTCCCATATCAACTCCAACTGGTGCCCATCAGATTCGCCGGTGAGAATGGGCTTGCCAACTAGCATCTCGCCAAAAACACACCTAGGGACATTGTCAGCATGATCCCTTGCAACAAAGAACCGACCACAGGCTGCCTACCCAACTCCCCACAAGTCAATCGATGTGGTGTATCTTTTGAGATGCATCAACAACTCGGGCGGGCGGTACCAGCGCGTGACCACCAAAGCAGTGTAGTCACGCGTTCCTTCCCCACCGCCGTGACCAGGCTGTGGTGTCTTGCCCTCGTAGTGTCTCGCAAGACCGAAATCAGCAATCTGAAGAATGCCCTTGTTGTTGATCAACAGGTTGGCAGCCTTCATATCTCTGTGCAAAATGCGATTGGCGTGTAGATACTCCAGGCCCTGGAGCAGTTGCTGCATGTAGCACTTGATTTGCGGCTCGGTCAATGTCACCGAGGGGTTGTCGAGCAAGCCCGACAGGTCATGGTCCATGTAGGGCGTGACCATGTACATGATGGGTCGCTTTCGTTTGTCCGCTGGCAAAGGGCGCCTGTTAGCCATGCATGTCCTGGAACCTCCTCGACAGATAGCATCAACTCACCACTCCTGGGCGGGTGTTCCACTGCCATATCCTCCAGTCGGAGGATGTTTGGATGCGACAGTAGCTTGAGCAGCTTGATTTCTCTCAATGCCGTAATCGGAAAGCCATCCTTTTCGTTATGCATGATGATCTTCTTGAGCGCAACCAAAGCACCCGTCTTTCTCGATCTCGCGCGGTAAACCTCTCTGTGTAGGGCAACAATGTCAGCTTCGGACACGGCCAAGATGGGAAGGCAAAAGAACCACCACCTACCCAAAGGTACCCTCGCCCAGTTTCCCCAACACCTCGTAGTCGGCAATCTTGGAGCACCCGACAAAGCTGCTTCTCGGCCTCTGGTGCGCAATGGCAAAGCTGCGGGGAGATTGCGGCCTCCCCGCAGCCTCCTGCGACTCGGAGGCGCTCATCGCGCCGTTGTAACTGTTTTGTTCGTGTTTGATGGCGGTTGTCGGACGAAGAATATCTTATCGGCGGTTTCTGGATAAGGCTTTCGTTTGTTGAACTGACAGTGGAACAGTTGACTGCCACTGATGGAATTGCTGACGCCTGGATTGCTTCGCAAGGCCGTTTGTCAATCCAGAGTGGTACGTTTGATCCAGTTTCTGCAAGCTCGCTGCCGAAATACTCTTATCCTCTCAATTTGCTGCTTTCTAAAAGTGTGACGAAGAAGAGAAGGTTGTAAGAAAGCAAAGAACGGGCAAGAGACCAAGATTAAGCCGAGAGCGCGCGCTGCCGATGCCTGCCAAGAAATGACAGACGCACCTTGCTGGGCTGGAACCATTTCTTGGCTGTTTCTGCCTTGTTCTTCAGGCACCCACGCCCAATGACGGCAGATACAGAGTACGTACCCCAACCCTGGTCACTGAGAGGGCAAGCAATCGGCGCAACGACGACACAGCCAGCTCGAGAAGCTCTATCGCGACACACCTACCAACCCACCCATTTCTTTCCCCGTCTGCCACCAGCCAGCGTGAGTTTGTCCCTCTCTATTCAATTGCTTTGTCTCCTTCAGTACCTGATCTCCTCCATCCAGCAGAGAAAGAAAAAAAACCAAAAATGTTCGCCCGCTTCTCCCGAGCCCTCCCCCGCTCCCAACTCGCCGGCCCCCCCATCCGGCCCCTCTACCGCTATACCGCCACCGGCCTGGGAGCTTCCATGTGGTTCTGGATCTTTTACAAGGCGAAGGAGGACGGTATGTCTTTCTCAGCTCTACCCCTCGAGCCAGAACAGTGTTACTCACAAGAAGAACAGGACCTGTCCTTCTCGGCTGGAAGCACCCCTGGGATCACTAAACGACTCGCATCGAGGATATGAAAACGACGAGGTGGTGAAGAGAAATAAATGTAGATACATGGTCAGGCGCCAAAGTAGCAATAACGCAGACCCAACTAGACGGACGGACAACAGGCCGAGGAGGAAGCCAAGAGCAAGAGAGGAAGGAGATACCAAATTAAATCAGTTTAACAGTCACATTGTTTGCTGTTCAGTTGATATTATACGTTAATCTCTAAGTAGCAAGATTATACAGCCCACTGGTTCTCAATACTTTCGGAGAAACCCGCCATGTCAAAACGAGACACATCTTCCCTACTTGTCAAACACACACATCACACCCACCTACCCACCCCAATCACAACCCAAACATATTTCAACTTTCGCTCGAGACCTTGACTACAAGTCTGTATATCCTCTATCTCTTGCCACACGTTTCCGCCCAGTCCTTACCAACGCCAGCTGACCCAGTCCTTACCAACGCCAGCCAGCCCAGCCCAAAAAGACTCATGTCTATCCATCCATAACCTACATATCCTCGTATAGTCATACCCATCCCCTACCTAGCTCTCCCCATTCTCCAATGTCCAACCAGCCCACCCCATTCCATCCCTTACACCCATCAAAACCTCATCCTCTCCAAAATAACCTTGTACTCCTTCCTCTTCTTACCCCCCTTCTCCCCCCCCCTCAGCCACCCCTTGACCCGCCCAACCCACCCCGCCAACCTCTGAAAAACATAATGCTCTCCCACCCACGCCAACCCCAAATATACCCCCGCCCCCAACCCAAAAACAAACACAACCTTGTACTCCCAACTCGTCCTCGTCAACCTCATAAACCCAATCCACTCCGGCGGCGCAACAGCCATAAACCCATTCAACCCCAACGCAGTCGCCATCGTGACCAAAAAAGGCCCTATCATCATTGTCAGCCATCATCACCACCCCCTTTCATCTCCCCCGGGAATGTATAATACTCACAATTCTTCCCCACCCCCTCCCTAAACGGCCTCCCAGCATTCAACACCCACCCCGCAAGCACATACTGCCAGCAACTAACCAGAAACAACCCCGTCACCTCGCTATTCTCCACATCCGGCTTCTCCCCCGGTTTTGGCGTCGTCGGCGCAATAAACCCCTCCATCCCCCTCACCCCCACAAACGCCACCGTTTGGATACCGACACAAACCACCATGTGGCACATCAACGGCGTCAGCACCTTTCTAGACACCAAATCCGCAATCGGCTTCTTCTTGCACAGCACCGGGTACGGTTTCGACCACCCCATAAACACCGCTATCGGCAGGATCAACGCCAGGTCAATATACAGAAACTGAAAATCCCCCAGGTTGGAAGCAGACGCGTAGAGGAACGAGACTGTCGTGAACTGGATCGCCGAGTAGAGACTCATGTACTTGAAACAGGCAAACGACGTCACCAACGCGGCCCGGCCTTCCCTTATCACTTTGGGGACGCACGTGATGTCAAAGACGCGCGAGGTGAAAGGGGCTGCGACAGAGGCTTCCGCTTCCGAGAGGGAGATCCCAACGTCGGCTGCCTTGAGCGCGCCGCAGTCGTTGGCGCCGTCGCCGCAGAAGCCGCACGAGTAGTCGATGCTCTGAAGCTTGTCGACCAGCTCGTGCTTCTCATCTGGCGACATGCGCGCAAAGACCTTGCCGGTGACGAGCATGCGCTGCATTACTTCTGCTGGGGCGTAGTCGACTACCCAGCGGAAGACATCGCCTGAGACTGCGATGGAGTAATTCCTCATGTTAGAGATGTCGTATGGTAGCGAGGCGTCGCCTTCCGGAGGAGCCGGTAGTGGGAGTAGGGTTCGGGGATCGAGACGGTAGATGGGGTTGTCGATACTCTCCCACTGTAACTCGGCGTTGGGGTCTTTGGTGTGCCCTGTTGCGAACCGAGCGTAGAAACAATGTGCCGTCTCGCTGATCATGCCAGATTCCCTCGCCACACTGATGGCGGTCAAGATGTTGTCGCCGGTAACCATGACAGTTCCGATATTAGAATCTCCAAGCTCCTTGAGTACCGCCGCCGTGGTAGGCTTGAGCTTGTTCTCAAAAATGATGAAGCCGACAAACTCGAGGTTCGACTCGACATCATGCCTGTGCATCTTCTGAGCCTTGACCCAGCTGAGCTTCTTGATATGTCTCGAGGCACAAGCGATGACTCTGTACCCCTTGCGAGTATACTGCCCCAAGACCTCGTCATAGTCCTCAGGGAATGTCTCTGGCTTGCAAATCTCCCTCATACACTCAGGCGAACCCTTGACATAAATGTCTCCGCTTGGCTTGCCAAAGTCTTTGACAATGACACTGGCCCGGCGAAGATGAGACACAAACTCAAACGACTTGAGCACACCCAGTTCGATAGAAGATGCCTCCCCAGTGCCATCAGCTTTCGCGTCCGGAGGCGGCCTAGCGATTGAAGGCTTCAGAGTTCCTTGCTCCTCGTCATCCCCTCTTCCACCACCCAGGTCACCCTCTTCGAAAGACCACTTTGTAAACTCAAACATCTTTAGCTCAAGAGGCTCCCCGAGCATCTCGCCATCGATCTTCCTCAGCGCATGGCAAGTGGCCATGGTATAAAGCGCCGTCGACCTGGTGTCAGGCTTACCCCCCACAGCAGGGGGCTGGTCATGACCAACCGCCAAATCATCAGGATTCTCAATCAAATCAATAAACTTGTTGGTGTCCCTAGAAACGAGATGCACACCAAGGATGTCAAGGCCCTCCTCTGTCAAAGTCCCAGTCTTGTCAAAGCACATAATGTCAAGTTTTCCTCCAACCTGGACCCTCTGCGGGCTCGTGCAAAAGATGTTCTGTCTCTTGAGCCGGCGCACCGCAAAGGTGGTGCCAATAGTCAAGGTGGCTGGCAACGCCGGTGGAACCACAATCGTGATCAGATCCAGGGCGCGAATGATGATTTCATGCCACGCCAAGCCAAGGTGAATGAAGTTGACGATACTGGCCAAGAAACCAACAGCTGCCACAATGGCCATCACACCAATGTACCGGAAGGAATCTCTGTAGAACTTGAAGCCAGACGGCTTCGGGAAGAGCATTGACCGAACCAAGGCACCCTTTGTTGTGTTGAAGCCGGTCTTGATAACCATGGCAAGAGCAACAGCTTGTTCATCTTCATTCTGAGGCCTTCGAGCGCGGATGATCTTGGTTCCGCAAAACAGAGTGTGTTTGGCCACCTCGGCTACTGGTGTTGGAGCATTCAAATCAAGCTTCTGAAGCGTGTCGTTTGTAGCTGGGGTTTTGGTTACAGGTATCGATTCTCCTGTGAGCATGCTCTCGTTGACAATGCAGTCACCGCTTAGAAGGATGCTATCGGCAGGAAACTGAGTCAACCTGGGGTCGCTGACTTCGTAGACGTCACCGGGTACTAGTTCGCTTGAGAGGATTGTGTTCCCTGGGGTTGTATTAGCGGCTATCACGGACTAGAAATGGTCTGTGGTCATGTGGCAAAGAGGATGCTGCGCTAGAATACCGCAAGAAGTGCCCATTGACCTCAAAAGAGGAGAGAAACTTACAGAAGCCGTGTCGACAGATTCTGACATCACACTCAAACCGAGAAATGTCCCGAAGTCTCCTCTCAGTCTGCCGTGTTTCTATCAAAGTCTGTATGATAGAAATGGCCGAGATCAAGAAGATGGCGCAAGCGTAGTAGTAGTATTCGTCCAGAGACCATAGGACAAGACTGGCGACTTGAAACACGTAGAATGGGTGAAAGACCTGAACTTTGTCAGCAACCGGGCTTTCTTCGAATTCACATATATGGGGGGAAACCTACTTCCTTCACGAGGAGCTGGCCAATAGTCTTCTTTTCGATATTGATATCGTTTTTCCCAAAGACAGTGCGACGGCTGACCTGCTCGTCGTTGTCGATACCATTGCGAACGTCTTGGACATCTGTCCAGAGGGGATCCTTCCAGCCATTGCAGATGAGAAATTTGTCGCGCACAGGGTGGAAGAAGAAGCGAATGTGGCGATAGTCTATGTACCTCAGTTCCGGAAGAATTGGATCTGGATCGTCATCCAGGAGGTACGAAGTGAACTTGGAAGGCGACCCAAAAACTGTCGAAAGCGTCCTCCCATACTCCTTCGATACCACATCCACCGCGGTCATCTCGTTCCACGAGTTTTCCACCACCACCCACTCGCACTCCCTGAGGAGCGCGGACCTCCCAACCAGCTTGACTCGCCACTTTGGCGACCAGTAGAAGATTAGCCACCCTACCCCCAACGTGAATACGCATATCAAAAGGTACAGAGCATAGCCGATTTTACTGGTTCTGAACCCGGCGATCGCAATGTAGAGGTCCTCATTCTGAATATGCGCCTTTTGACTGTGTCGATTCGACCCATATCCACTCCCTGCCGATGTGCCACTGTCCCTACGTAGCAACATACTGTGCACAGAGTCCCCTCGGGATTGCATGGATGCGCGCCGATGGAGGACGTAATCGTTTTCCTCGGCGGTTCGTTCGAGGTCGGTAGAGTCCTGTTCCTCGTCGAGTTCGTCGTCGAACGGGAGCTCGTCCAGATCCCCGATGCGCCGCTCCTCTATCGCAAGGGGGTCATTCAGTTCATCTTCTTCCTGCCAGAATGAGAAGCTTGCTGTGGAATCGGCTCGTGAGCGGCGGTGATGAAAGGCAGAGACACTCGTGGGTAACGATTCAGCCATCGGCCCCGAGTAGAGCTATGTGTGTGGTTAGTACCACTGCCGCAGGCTTGGATTGTGCACGGTTCCACTCACCTCATCGTGCGCCATCTCAACATCCTCGAAAACGCTGACGCTGCTGTGGTTTCCTTGGAGACTATAAAAGCCATTTCGGTTGCTTGCCGCCGGCGGCAGATCGTGATCTCGGTCGTTTTCCATGTTGGTTTGGGGTATAAAGCGGAAGGCAGCTGATAGATCCTCAGCAAGGTTCTGGAGAGAGAAAAATTGATCGCATGCGCATTGTCAACAGCAGCTGCCAATGGATTGGCCGTGGTATAGCTGAGCGCGTGGGTGAAATGGATGAACCGAAGCTAGAATTCAGGTACGGAGAACAGAGCGGTTGTGGAGCTGGTTCTGATAAGCACCATGACGTCGGACTCGATTGGATCTACTCGGATAGCTGCATGGTGCGTCTTGGCAGGCCAGCAACACTCTTGATGACCTAAAATACCATTCATACAAAATGCGGAGGATGTAGTTATTCCTAAAGATTAATAGACGTCAAGTAAGTAGTCAGATGGACTACTGGATATATAGCTTGTATGTTGGATGACATGGAACATTGTGTGTCTAGTTGCAGAATCATACTACATTTCATGTGGGTCATGGGGTGCATGTCTGCTCCATGCATATGCCTCAAGGTGCCACTAGACGTGTCCCTGCATTTTATTCAGGCTTCAAAGTCAATATTTGGGACCTTTGGCACTCTGGGTACCGATTCGCCGATCAGTTCTTGGGTAACTAGGTAGATGTGTGGGAGTGTGTTCCAATGTGGTGCTCATACACTATTCTCCGTACCGCTTATAAGAATCTTTCCTCTTTTGGTTGTGTAAGTGGGGGTCCACAGACAAAACTACAATGGTTCTTGGCTCAAAGATTACTTAGGAGGCTTAAAAATATGCCAGCCAACAGCGTAGGGAATCTTGAGGCTCATATGTGTAGCTGGCATCGTGAGATGAACAATGGTCTGGCAGACTTGGGGCTACCTTGCACGAATCCTGCAAAAGGTGGCGAGCAACGGGATCCTCGGTAGACATTGGACTTCCGTGATGCTCCGTAGCCGACATCCATCTGTCATCCCTCAACACCATTTGTTCAGGTAAATGTTGAGTGTTGGCTGGCTACCGGCCTCTTGGCATTATATCTGCAAGTATGCAGTCATCTGAAGGATGCCCACACGGGTAACTAAGTTGAAATTCCCGGAGATCCCGTGATCATTGATATCGCCCGATCGATTTAGAAGACATATGTACTTTGTGACAATACACTTACTTTGCTTGTCAAAAGTCCATATGCAGCAGAAACAAGACCTGTCTGTGATGGCGTGTGTTCATTGTGTCTACTGTGCTGTGTAATCATCGGCTTCGGATGAGGAGTCAAAGGGTCCCTCCCAAAAGTAAAAGCGAGTTTGACAGGTGGAGACGGAAAGTCGGTGGGCTGGAAGTGGGAGGTGGGAGGTGGGAGGCGAAAGAAAATTTAGATGCCATCCCTGGAAACTTTGACGGGGCCGGATGGATGGCGAAGCCCTAGATAGGCTGGTGATATGCCATGACATGCCATGCTCTCTGACAAAGGGCAAGATGAGTGAGTGACAGTAGGGCCGCAGAGAGCGGTGAAGGTGAAGAAACCAAAGCAAATTTCTGCTACCTAGCATTAGCAAGAGCCGGAAGAGGCTGCCACGGCTGCCACGTCAACTAGGAGGGCCCTTGGTGATGGCTGTGGTCCGGTGTGGAGATTCGAGATGCGACTCATGGGTGAGGCATGCTAAGCTTCGGTTCACGGATTGGAGAAAGCAACGGTTAGGAACATTGCCATCGCGATCCAGACCACGCCCAGTAAAAAAGAGGGAAAAAAGACGCGTAGAGCCACTGTGAGTGTTGGGTGCAGGCAGTGAACGCCCAGTGACCGCACAGGCCGGTGGGAGGCAGAGGCGTAAGGTTGCCCCGCAAATTTTTTAGTGACCCATTGATAGCTTTTCCTTCCCCTCCCTCAACATTTCCTCCGGCTCTGAGCAATCTGTCGACGCTTCACCACCCGCTGTTTCCGTGCAGTTCTTTCTCCTCGTTCTGCCCTCACAAATCGCCTGTTGGTGCCGCTGTTTGCACGATCCCCATCCCCGTCCATCATCACAATCAGTCAATCAAAATGGCCGAACCGATTAAGAACAAGCGGCCCGACCCCGCCGTTGCCCCGTAAGTTTTCTCGGCATTCTGTCTGCTTGCCAGTCGGTCGACTGCCCCCGGCCGACTGGCGATAAGCTGTCTGCCCTGCCCGTCCTGTACTGACTGCGACTCGTCGACAACAGCACTCCTCAGAACACACCTTTGAACGCAGCTCCCATCTCATCGCACGCCCAGCAGCCCGGAGTTGCTAGCATCAATGAAGGTTCGTATTCATCTCCCCCATCTACCCCGCCGTTGTTGCGGCCCAACAAGATTTGGCTTGTGATCATGAACTGACCATTTTGCATGACGCAGAGGATCTGGGTGGTGGTGTCACTGCCGCTTCCATCTTTGCTCACGACCCCCGCCTCGTGTCTCTGATCCAGGGCCGTCTCGGTTCCCTCGTTGGCAAGTCTTCCGGCTACATTGAGTCGCTCCCTGCCGAGGTCAAGCGCCGTGTCTCCGGTCTCAAGGGCATCCAGAAAGAGCACTCCAAGCTCGAGGCCGAGTTCCAGGAGGAGGTCCTTCAGCTCGAGAAGAAATTCTTCGCCAAGTTCACCCCTCTCTATGAGCAGCGTGCCGCCATCGTCAACGGCAAGACCGAGCCCACCGAGGACCTCGTCAAGGCCGGCGAGGAGGATGAGGACAAGGCGGAGGGCGCCGCTGTCGAGAACAAGGGCGCCACCGACGGCGGTAAGGTCAGCGGTATTCCCGAGTTCTGGCTCTCTGCCATGAAGAACCAGATCTCCCTTGCCGAGATGATCACCGACCGCGATGAGGGCGCTCTCAAGTCCCTGATCGACATCCGCATGGAGTACCTCGACAAGCCCGGTTTCCGCCTGATCTTCGAGTTCGCTGAGAACGAGTTTTTCACCAACAAGATCATCACCAAGACCTACTACTACCAGAACGAGAGCGGGTATGGCGGTGACTTCATTTATGACCATGCCGAGGGTGACAAGATCGACTGGAAGGCCGGTCAGGATCTTACCGTTCGCATCGAACAGAAGAAGCAACGTAACAAGAGTAAGTTGAAGGCGAAAACTCGTGTAAAATTGGGGTTTTTTCTAACACAAACCAGCCACGAAGCAGACTCGCATCGTTAAGAAGACTGTCCCAACCGAGTCCTTCTTCAACTTCTTCTCGCCCCCCAAGCCCCCCACCGACGACGACGACGAGGCGGCCGAGGATATTGAGGAGCGTCTCGAGCTCGACTACCAGCTCGGTGAGGACATCAAGGAGAAGCTTATTCCCCGCGCCATCGACTGGTTCACCGGCGAGGCCCTCGCTTTCGAGGAGTTGGACGAGGAGGACTATGCCGATTTCGACGACGATGATGAGGATGACGAGGACGATGACAGCGAGGACCACGATGATGAGGACGAGTCCGAGGAGGAAGAGGTAAGAATCAATTTTGTCCACCAGACAAAGGTCAAAGACTGACAGCTTTCCAGGAGGATGGCAGCAAGCCCAAGCAGGAGCCCTCGGAGTGCAAGCAAAGCTAAATGGTGTAGACTTCTCGCCAACATGGCCTAGCATACTTCATTGATCGGGCAATCGCCCCTCCGCCCTCTACCCGGGCCTTTTTTTCACTGGTGTCCCAATTACACTGCTCATCAGCAGGCTCCATTAGGGAGCAATACGGCGAATGATGGACATGCAGGAGTGCCGAAATTGAGCTCTGATTTGTACTTGTTTTTGAGGACATTTCCGGGTAATATGTCTTGTCTTTGCATGCCCTTTGCGTTTGATGGCTTCTCCTCGTCTCAGTTTGTTTATGGGTTTTTCAATTTTCATTTGTGCGGGTGGGAAGCGATTGTCTTTTCCCGAGATGTGAGGGCATACTAGAAGGCAGACAAAAAGGGGGGCTCACAACTGGGGGCAGGACGAGTCTCGAGCACTGTATGGGAACACTTGGTATTAGGTTTATGGCACCTGAGCCCAGCAGTCAGTAGGCAGTGAATTCACATTATGTAGCAAACTCATCAACATCGTGATCATCATGAGGTGTCTTTTATTTTGTCCATGTCTGATCTGAGGGCCTCCGTAGTCGCTGCTGAGCGGGCCCAGGATGTCGGATCGAAGTCGACTCATTGCGACCCCGGCACACGGTGTGCAGCTGAGCCGTACATATGCGGCGATTATGCGGGGTGAATGTTCATTGGTATGGGGGCCTCTTGACCCGGAAAATTAGGTGATACATTGAGGCGATTGTTCCATTTTTGGTGTTTCGACAGATCCAGGAATGTCCCGGTATCCGGACCGGAATAGACAACCATTGGTGGTAGACCCTGGATGTAAGTGCTATGCTATACTTTTGGTACCTGGACAAGAGACAAAGAGTCGAGGTAGTGTCTATGGATGTGTTGGATAACATAGTTCCATTTTGTCAAAGAGGTATGCTACGTGAAGGGCCCGGGAACCGAAAATAAACCAAAAGAGAGCCATTGGGTGTTCTATAGAACGTACAGTATAGTCTAGAGTGAGTAGGTACGTAGTCAGGGCGAGCACGCCTTGATCGGAGGCGCAGGTGTGGGCTTGTCGAATGAAGAACTCGCATTCCGTCATGGATGGCCCAAAAAGTTTTCTTTTAGCCAGCGTGAACCCACCACACAGTGAGTCAACCCCGCCATCCCCAAGAAACCCCACCATGGAACCATCCCACCGTGGATCGACCTTGAACCACGGGCTGAGTATTCAAAGAGGTGACACATCCCACGCCTTGTTTGTTCGGGGGACCTTTTTCTTCTTCAATCTCGACTCAAAACTTTACCCAACTTTTTCTGACCGCGAAGAAGCTTTATTAGCCCATGTTACAAAGCCTGTTCCCTGTTGCCGCCGCCTTTTGAGTCAATATCTTTTTTCTTGATTCCGCCAGTTGAAAAGGAAAACTGCCACAATGACAACCCCAAAACCAATCTCACAGTCTTCGTTGGCTAGACCTGCCGTGTCCAACAGCCTCAGTGTTTCCCCTACCGCTACTTTCCACTCACCACCCGCGTCGAGCAGCTTCATGGCCAGCCTTGCGTTGCGCGCTGCTGCTAAGCAGCTCAAGCCGTTCAGCACGGAGGACATCAAGATTCTGCTGCTGGAGAATGTGAACCAGACCGGGAGGGATATTCTGTCTGGTCAGGGGTACCAGGTTGAATTTCACAAGGCTTCGTTGCCGGAGGATCAGTTGATTGAGAAGATTAGGTGAGTTCACTATTACTACTACTACTACTACTACTACTACTACTATTACTACCACCTCATAAGTCCTTATTCCGGCTTCAAATTTGCTGACATTTACACTTCAGAGATGTCCACGTCATTGGCATCCGCTCAAAGACAAAGTTGACGGCCAAGGTGCTCCAGGAGGCCAAGAACCTTCTCGTCATCGGCTGCTTCTGCATCGGCACTAACCAGGTTGATCTGGATTATGCTGCCAAGCAGGGTATCGCTGTTTTCAACTCTCCCTTTGCCAACTCGCGCAGTGTGGCCGAGTTGGTGATTGCCGAGATTATCTCTCTTGCCCGCCAGCTGGGCGATCGCTCGAATGAGCTTCACCGGGGCACTTGGAACAAGGTCAGCGCCAAGTGCTGGGAGGTGCGTGGCAAGACGCTGGGTATTGTTGGGTATGGGCATATTGGCTCGCAGCTGTCGGTGTTGGCGGAGGCGATGGGGATGAATGTCATTTACTATGACGTGGTCAGCTTGATGGCCATTGGTACCGCGAGGCAGGTGCCTACGCTGGAGGCGCTGCTTGGGGAGGCGGATTTTGTCACGCTGCATGTGCCCGAGACTCCGGAGACGAAGAACATGCTGGGGGCGAAGCAGTTTGAGCAGATGAAGAATGGGTCTTATCTTATTAATGCCAGCCGTGGGACGGTGGTTGATATCCCGGCGCTGATCAAGGCTATGAGGGCGGGCAAGGTTGCTGGTGCGGCGCTGGATGTCTATCCTAATGAGCCGGCTGGGAATGGGGATTACTTCACCACTGACCTGAACCCGTGGGCGGAGGAGCTCCGCGGTCTCAACAACATTATTTTGACTCCTCATATCGGTGGTAGCACGGAGGAGGCGCAGAGGGCGATTGGTATTGAGGTTGCGGATGCGCTCGTGAGGTACATCAACCAGGGTGTCACCCTTGGGAGCGTCAACCTGCCCGAGGTCAACATGCGCCAGCTTACCCTCGACGAGAGCAACCACGCGCGCATCATCTACATCCATCGCAACGTGCCCGGTGTGCTGCGCAGGGTGAACGAGATCTTGGGCGACCACAACGTCGACAAGCAGATTTCGGACTCCAAGGGCGACATTGCTTACCTCATGGCCGATGTTAGCGACGTCCGGCCGGAGGATATCAAGGAGATTCGGGACAGCTTGGACGGACTCAGCTCACGCATTCTTACCCGGGTTCTGTATTAGATATATAGATAGGGGGTGTGTGTGTTTTCTGAGGAAATGGGTTTATCTGGTTTGTTTATAATGGGTGGATATTTTGGTGTTTTGTATGTGTGTGATGTGATATTTTTTGGACATTTTCTTTTGTTTGCTTGGTTGACGGAGTCAGTGATGGGAGAGCAAGAACAAAAAGCATTTCAACATGGAGCAAGGAAAAATTATATCATCATATGAGGGGGAAGGGGGGGCTGGCCGACATCGCCGGTCGCCTGTCCGTCTCTTATACCGGGATGGCTGCTGTTCCTCCGTTCCTCTAGCTGCACTTATGCAATATGTTGATTACGTCTACCCTCGGACACACCATTACAAATCAAACTCCCTTCCCAATGGGCGTGGGGACACTTGATAAC